TCAGCCTTCTATCCTTTCACGGTGCGGTAAAATGACCCAGATTGTTTGGGGGCAATAGGCTGACTCTGTAAACTACTTAGAAAGGGATGTAAATCACTGTAAAGCAGTATATAAGTCTAAGTGCTATTGCGGGAAAACTCTGCCCACAGCCTGGAGTTCGATCCTGACCAGTTCAAGGTTGACTCAGCATTCCATCCTTCCGAGGTGGGTAAAATGAGGACCCAGATTGTGGGAACAATATGCTGTCACTGTAAACCGCTTAGAGAGGGCTTGTAAAGCACTGTAAAGCGATATATAAGTCTAAGTGCTTTTGCTATTATGAACATTCAGATTCCACTATGTAGAATTAGGGTGTGTGTGTGTGTGTGTTTGTGTGTGTGTGTTTGTGTGTGTGTGTGTGTGTTCTCAGTAAGGATTGGACTTGCCCTGAGATTCAAGAAAACTAACCATCACTCTAAGAAGACCAGAAGAAAATCTGAGCAGCTGAAGAGGGCAAAGTCCCATCAAAGCCAACAAAAAAACAGAGACCAAAAAAAGAACCAAGAGAAGAATGAAACAGCTCTGTCTTATCATTCTTAGTCTTGTGGGGTCCTTGGTGCTCTCTGAGCTGGGTTGTTTTCTTGCAGACATTTCATTACCAAACTATGTAACATCATTAGTGCTAGAAGGGAGCGAGGTTTATAGAGAGGAAGAAGACTCTGGGGTCCTTGGTGGTCCCTGAGCTTGCTTGTTTTCTTGCAGACATTTCATTATCAAACTAGGTAATATTATCAGTACCCTCCACACAGGGAAAAACAACCAAGCTCATTAGAACACCAAGAATCCCACAGTTCAACCTTGAGCTACAAATATTTTCTTCTATCCATACTTAGTGCTCCAAGTCCTATAATTCTTAGTCAGCACAGCATCATTTCAAGTGCAGATCCTAAGACCCAAACTTCCTAGATCCTGCTAGCATCGATCCTTTTTGCAAGATTTACTCCCTGGAAAGTCAGCTGGCTAGACTCAAAAGTCAAGCAGACCATTGAGAGCAAAGTAAAGAATCCATGGGCTTCTCTTGCCAGAAACCTTACAGCCTTCCCTGGTGCTTTATGCTTGGATGATGGCATTTTCTCAAGGATGTTATTTCCAGTATTGATCTCTAGTTTTCCAAGGGCATTCTTTGCCATCTAAATCCATAATGACATCTCACACACCTCCAGTGCCCCAGAGAACTCACATTAATATAAAGGTCCTTTGTGAATCATTTGTGGTGTTAAACCTAATAGCAAAACGGTTATCTTCTGTGGATATGATGGATATGTCAACTTCCATTTGCTGAAAATAGTCTACTGGCCTTTAAATGTCTTGAAGGAAGCAAGAGAGCTGCTAGTGCTACAATCCTTTGCTCTAAATAGTTACTGGTGATGGAATAAGATCTGTGCCTTTAATTGAGGGACAAATTCTGTAGAACTGAGTCTCTCTTTGTGGTTTTCATCAAATGGAGCTTTCCTAAAACAAAGGAGAACTTAAAAGGGGCCTAAATTTGATGGGTTTCACTGATAGCAGGACTTCAATCCATCAGAGTAAGTTCAGGTGTTGATTCTATATCCGTGTGCTACTTTAATCTACCTTGTATTTTCCAAACAACATACAGAGTCAGATGCTGCTACTGGTAGCATAAACCACAATTTCAGGGATTTTAACCAAGCGCCAAGATTGAGGTGGTAACCTTCGATCTTTAGTACACAAATATTCTGACTCTGTGGAAGAATATTTTTCCCCCTCTCTCGCCGAAGAAAATCCTGCTTCTTTGGCTTATGTGCTGAAGGGCTGAAGGATAAAAGGATGTGTAAAATTCCTTTGTGTGGGGTCTCGGTGCACCAATATAGCTGTTATTTGTTCTCGTTGGAGATATCGAAAAATAATAGTTTATTTTATCTGCGCAGTCACCGGTAGAGGCTGGAGACTGAAATAATACAAGCCACTTCAATAAGACTTAATAAGGACCAATGGTTTTTTTTCCCTACAGAAGGGAGAAGGGTAGAGAAACCTTTCAGGTTTACAAATGCTGTTGTTGCTGCTATTCCATTGTTTTCATCTTATAAACGCGGGTTTAAATATAGCTCTTTTCTCTCTCCAGTGGTTTAAATGAAAGGAACAGCCAAGATAGGTGTATTTCAAGTCCACAAATTAAAAGGTGACATTTCTCCAGCTGGGTCAAAGGACATGTTTAGACAGACATTTACTGTCATTCTCAGGAAAAGGAAAAGTAGGTTCGTATATGGAAAATGTAAACCCAGATCCCACTTTGGAGTAAAGGTTGCTGAAAAAAGTGGTGGGATGACAGCGTCAGAGAGCCATGGAGGAAGCATGCTATTGGGGTGCCTTTCGGTCAGGATTCAGATATGGGTACCGCAACGAAATAACACACATTGCCTTGTTGTTGATCTCCAGCAGGAGTATTTGGATATGTGTGTGTATCCATCATCCATCTATGCCATCCTTGGTGACTTTGGGTACCATTGATTACCACATCCTTGGGGGCTGCATCAGGGGGTTAGTTGTGAGAGGCACGGTGGCACGATGGCTCTCTTTCCCCCAAGATCACTTCCACTCATCACTAGCAAGGGAAAGAGGTCTAGACTCTTTCTAGATTTAGAGGATCTAGATTCTAGAGGTGTAGAAAGAGGTCTTGCCTTTGCTTTGCAAGGTTTCACAAGCTCTACTTTTGTCTCATTTCACATCTCCATGAAGAGGTTATGTGAGGTCATCCAATAGCACCAAGTCAGTTAGGATCTCTTCTTCTTCTTCTTCTCCATCTCCTTCTCTTTCTCCATCTCCTTCTCCTTCTTCCTCTTCCTCTTCCTCTTCCTCTTCTCCTCCTTCTCCTTCTCCTTCTCCATCACCTTCGCCCTCTTCCTCTTCTTCCCCTTCTCCTTTTTCTCCTTTTTCTCCTTTTCCTCCTCCTCCTCCTCCTCCTCCTCCTTCTTCTTCTGCCATATCCATCATCAAATGTTGGCGATCATGTTGACGATCCTACTTTTATCAACAGCCTCATGAAAAAGGGCTGCTGAGTTTTGTCCAAACCAGTCCCTTAGATTTTGAAGCCACAATATTCTTCTTCTGCCTTCATTTGCCTTTAACCTTTCCCTGGAGGATTAAATAAGGGTAGGATAGGTACATTTCATTCTCAGAAGCAATACAGCAGCTTCCCAGCATGGAAATAATACTGATGTATTGAAAGGCTGGAAGCTTGCTGCTGTTTGGGTTCCTGTAAATAAACACAGACCCTCAAAGAACAATTCCTTGACATTAAATAAGACCAGAGGTGATAAAAGTCACATTTAAAAAGAAAATCCTTATCCAAATTTTTTTTTTTTAATAATTTGTAGCATGGCACGGCTCGCTCTGATTTCTTATCAAGGTTGCCGCATCTCCCCCTCCATTTAAATATGAAGAAAGGAAGAAGGCCCGTCCTTTGTTTATGGCTGTTTATGGCAGCCATGTTCTTTTAACTAAAGGTGTTGCAGCTGTGCTTCCATTTGCAAAATGCCAGCAGTGATAGATGGTGGCTTCGTTCCTGGCAAGATACGATCTTCCAAGAATGGAGTCCTGTATCAGGACCACGGAAAGCTCCCTAAATCTCCCTCTGCTGGTTTACTGGTTATTTTTCTTCATTGAGCTTCCATTCTGCTTTTGCTTCAGTAACTAAAGATGGTGTACATACCACTCTCTTTCTCAGTTTTTGCATGAAAGATCAACCCTACAAAGTGGAATGGCTGTGAGGGACTGGCTCAAAATCATCCATTTCTTTCTTTCCCTCCCTCTCTCTCTTTCTCTCTTCCTGGTCTAAAGAAAAGAAGAATTAGGAGGCACATGATAGTCATATTCCAGTACTTGAGGGGCTGCCACAAAGAAGAGAGGGAGTCAAGTTATTCTCCAAAGCACCAGAGGGCAGGACAGGAAACAATAGTTGGAAACTAATCAAGGAGAGAAGCAACCTGGAATTAAGGAGAAACTTCCTTAACAGTGAAGGACAATGAACCAGTGGAACAGCTGGCCTTCAGAAATTGTGAGTGCTCCATCACTGGAGGTCTGTAGAGCTTCTTAGTCATCCAGGTCATGGTTGTCCCAAAGGTGCTTTTTCAGGAGGCAACTGGACTTTCTTGTTTTTTCTTTGAAGACGTTTCGCTTCTCATCCAAGAAGCTTCTCCAGCTCTGACAGCATGGTGGGGAAAGGAAGGATTGATATTCCTTGCAGACAGCTGGTCATTTGCATCCTTTTAGAGGGTCGTTGAAGCACTGGGAGGTTTATCTGTGTCCTCAGAGTCACCTGAGTGGTTCTCCTGGTTTCTGTAGTCTGCATTTTTTTTCCCTCTGGAAATCCATTCCTACACCATTCCAAGGGTGTTCATCCCAAATGGTGTAGCTAAAAAGTCTGTAGAGATTCTCAGTCATCCAGATCCAGCTGCCTGCAAGAAGTATAAATCCTTCCATTCCCCGCTATCCTGTCAGAGCTGAAGAAGCTTCTTGGATGAGAAGCGAAACGTCTTCAAAAGAAAAAAACAAGGAAGTCCAGTTGCCTCCTGAAAAAAACCTCCCATCACTGGAGGTTTTGAAGAAGAAACTAGACAGCCATTTACCTGAAATAGTATAGGTTGTCCTCCTTGAGCAGAGCGCTGGACTAGAAGACCTCTAAGTTCCATTCCAGCTGTATTCTATTCTATTCCTCTTTCTCTCTAACACTCTCTCTAACACACACACTCTCTCTCTCTCTCTCTCTCTCTCTCTCTCTCTCTCTCTCTCCCCTCTCATTCTCTCTCCACACACACAAACACAGAGAGCCAATATCGTAAAGAATATCTTTCCCTGAAGTCACCCTGTTCTTTCTTCCTTAGGCAAAACTTCCGAGAGAATAAATTCTTCAGAAATTAGCCTTGTCAGATTTTTTTTTTCACTACTACCCCAAACCCCATTTGGGCCACAGGTATTGATCCTTCTCTCTGCTTCCTTTTCAGAAAGCCGACTTGGCAGTGGCTGGCCTGACCATTACAGCCGAGCGAGAGAAGGTGATTGATTTCTCAAAGCCCTTCATGACTCTGGGGATTAGCATCCTCTACCGTGTTCACCTGGTAAGAGACATCATTTCAAAGCGGTTTGCACGTTGAAGGATACCTGCAGACAAATGTTGCACAAAGCAATAGCTGTGAGGATTTGTCTACTCCAAAAAAAAACAAAAAACACCACCAACCCCACCCTTTTTGTTTTTGTACTGCATTATTCTGATGTTATTTGAGTGGTGTGGTGTGCCTAGAAGTGAGTCTAGCCTCACAATCAGGAGGCTGTGAGTTCAATCCTAGGTATAGGCAGATATTTCTCTCTCTGGGCACACTGAGAATGTATCTGCTTGGTGGGGGGAAACCTCTGTGCTGGTGCCAGGAAAGGCATCCGGCCAGTAAACACTTAGCTCCATTCAGTTTCCCAGACTCCATCCCACAAGGGATTGTGGGGACATTAAAAGAAGAAGTTGATTATTCCGACGTTATTTAAAACATTGAAATTAGCTCAAGTCGAGGATTTTATGAGGCCGAATATTGATCAAGAGACTGTTTTTTTTAATACTGTGCCAGATATTGTCCGTTGTTTTTTTTAATTAACGTTGTAGGAAAATTAGAAATTACACTAATTATAAAACTCAACAATTAGAAATTAGACTGTGTAGTGGAATATCAAAGCTGGTGGCTGGAGCTAATTCATTTTGGCTGATTTAGAAGACAAGCTTAATTGGGGTCAGCCTTGATTAGTACTTGAGTAGGATATCACCTGGGTACACCAAGGCTGTAGACTAAACTGAAAATCAAAATAATCTCCTAATAGTTTCCAAGAGCCTAGCTGGACTCACCAGAACCTTTACCTTTTGGGGTTAAAATAACCTTTCATGGTAACAACAACAACAACAACAATAATAATGATAATAATATTCCAATTGTAATTGGAGCCCTTGGAGCAATACCTAAAGGATTGCCTTGCTATTTGGAAATCCTGAATTTATCAGACTTGAATACAAAAAACCCACCCTACTTGGAACAGCTTATGTCCTCCGACGCTACCTGAACAGTTCCTAGGTCCTTGGTAAGGACTTGAGCTGTTGAGCTACCAACCAGCCCCAAAGGCTGTGAATCTCACTAAAGATATAATAATAATAATAATAATAATAATAATAATAATAATAAGACTTGAGCTGTTGAGCTACCAACCAGCCCCAAAGGCTGTGAATCTCACCAAAGAGTAACCATAATAACTTCCTGTTCTGTGACATGAATTCTTTGCCCTTTGCAAAGTGGTGTGGCTAATTCCCTTCTAGGAGATATGTGTTTTCCTTCCAGAAGTTCACTAAGAGTAGAAGAAGGAAAATAACGCTTTGGAGAATGTGATTCATGGATAGAGGGGCTTCCCAGTTTCTACAAAGCTAACTAAGTTATTGGACAATGCTCCTTGACAAATGTGCAATCAGAACTCACCAAATTTGCAGATGATACTAAGCTGGCAGGAATAGCTGGCACCCAAGAAGATAGGCTCAAGATCCAGATGGATCTTGACAGACTAGAACACTGGGCCATATCTAACAAAATGAAATTCAATGTAGAGAAAAGTAAAGTCCTACACTTAGGCAAGTTTAACCAAAAGGACACATATAGACTGGGTGAAACCAGGCTCAATAGCAGTAACTGTGACAGGGATCTTGGAGTCTTAGTGGACAACCCGCTAAATATGAGCCAGCCATGTGTGCGGCAGCAACCAAAAAAGCCAATGCAATCCTAAGATCAAGGGAGGTACTAGTACAACTCTACAAAGCCTTAGTAAGACCACACCTAGAATCCTGCATCCAGTTTTGGTCACCAGACTATAAAAACAGCGTTGAGACTCTAGAAAGAGTGCAGAGAAGAGCAACCAGGATGATTAGGGGACTGGAGGCTCAAACTTACAAAGAACGGTTGCACTAGACTGGGCCTGGCTAGTCTAGTGAAGAGAAGGACCAGGGGAGACAGGATAGCAGTCTTTCAATATTTGAGGGGCTGCCCTAGAGAGGAGGGGATCAAGTTATTTTCCAAAGCACCCGAAGGCCAGACAAGGAACAATGCATGGAAACTGAACAAGGAGACATGCAACCTGGAAATAAGGAGGAATTTTCTGACAGTGAAAACAATCAACAAATGGAACAGAAGTTGCCTTCAGAAGTTGTGGGAGCTTCATCCCTGGAGGCTTTCAAGAAGAGACTGGACTGCCATTTGTCAAAAATAGTGTAGGGTCTCCTGCTTGGGTGGGGGGTTGGACTAGATAACCTACAAGGTCCCTTCCAACTGTGTTAATCTAAAAAAGAACACCCTCTGCTTTTAACCTACATTTTCCTATTGCCATTTGGTTTGGGCTTTTAATCTGCAAAGTTTTTGTCACTGTCCCCCAACGAGAGAAGCCTTCTAGTTTTATGGGACTAGAACTCCCACATTACTCCATTAGGGAGACAAGCAGTCGAAGCTCCTTTAGACAAATGGGCCTGCAAGTTCAGAGAGCAGCATCTTCACCCTCTGAACAATAATGGTATTTTATCCCAGACTGGTCGAGTTGCTGTCTCTGATCCCTGTGCAGAAATTAGATGGCCGATATATTGCAGGACACAAGCCCAGATGGATGCTAATTCTGTCTTTGCCCTTGGATTGAGCTGTGTGAGAGAAAAAAGGCCAGTAATTTCCTCACTCAACGAATATATATATATATATATATAAGAAAGAAAGAGTAGGCAGATCTCAGAGAAAAAGGCAGAAAAAGAAAAGGAAGCTTATAAATTCAGTTCCCTTACACGGGGTTTTCCTTGCCCCATCCTGCTGTGCCAAATTATTAGTTGATCTCAGCCCTGAGAGCAGGAACACAATAGATACTCCAAGACTCCGGAGAAAAATGAAAAATTCCACCTATTCACTCCATAGGTTTTGCTTATTTTCTTCTCAGGATTTCCAGAATGGAGAAATGTATGCCAGCTGGGTCTCTGCCTCTCCACTTATATGCTAGTAGGAAATATTTTTTTCCCCCAGAAAGGAAGGGAATATCCCCTCCATATCCCCCCTCTAATATGCCATCAGCCCAAGGGCAGAAAAGCATTTGCAAATGGGCCAACAATACGATTCTTGATGTGGGTTTTGTTGTTGTTGTTGTTGTTGTTGCTTTCCACTATCAGGATGGAAACTTCATTGAAACATTTGAGGGTTGGCCCTAAACCATATGATCGACTAGTTCTCGTGGCGTATCTGCCATTGAATTCTCTCCCTTCAAACTGTGGTTTTGTAACCGAATGCTACATCCATGGTTTTTGTTTTCTTGAGTTTTTGAAAAGAAAGCAAACTATTGCTCAATTGAGTCAATAGTTTAGAACAGGAGTGTCCTTCGAAACAGGGAGGAGGCAATATTTGTGCCTTGGGATTTTCCACCATCAACATTTAAATATATATGTATATATATATATCTGCCACGACAAGAAAAGAAGCAATAGGTTCTGTTTGGACCTCCTTAGGGTTCAAATTTAGAGATTAGTCTTTTGTTTTGCTTTCCTTTTCAGTTCTTCACATTTCCTGTCCAAAGGTCAGTTCTTGTGTCTTAGAATTAAGACGGTTAATTAAGACTGTCTCTATGGTTATAGAGAAGAAACTTATTGTTTAGCATACGCTGTATAAAAGCAATCAATCAATCAATCGGAATAGAGCTGGAAGGGGTCTTGGAGGTCTTCTTGTCCAACCCCTACTCAAGCAGGAGACCCTATACCATTTCAGATGAGTTACTGTCCAGTCCCTTCTTAAAAACCTCCAGTGATGGAGCACCTGTGATTTCTGGAGGGAAGCTGTTCCACTGGTTAATTGTCCTCACTGTTAGAAAGTTTCTCCTTAATTCCAGGTTGCTTCTCTCCTTGATGAGTTTCCATCCATGGTTTCTTGTCCTGCCTTCTGGGGCTTTGGAAAATAAGTTGACTCCTCCTCTTTGTGGCCACCTTTCAAATACTGGAACACTGCTATCATATCACCTCAATCCTCCTTTTGTTTAGACTAGCCAAACCCAAATCCTCCAATATGTTTTAGTCTCTGGGCCTTTCATCATCTTACTTGCTCTTCTTTGCACTTTTTCCAATGTCTCAACATCTTTTTGTAATGCATTGAGTCATTAAAAGAGTAAATATTAATTTAACACGAGAAGGCTCGAAAACTCATTACAGCAGTCAAGAGCTGCTCAAAGCCCATCTGTGCTTCTTCCTTTCATATTCCAGCCTGGGAAACTGCAGCTGACGTTGTATTTAATCCATGGTTTCCATCAGATGCTTCTTATCAAATAGCTGCAGAAGCATTTCCAGCCTGTTAAAGCAGCATCTCCCCGTCTCCATCTCCTCACTGTTGAGGTGACATTTGGCTTCCGTCTCCTGTCGCTTGGTTTCTCAGTCCTCAGACCTGGCTTGTCTGCACCCCATTTTACACACACACACACAGACACACACACACACAGAGGCTTCATCACAAATAACTGCAAATGGCAGGTTCAAATGGGCCTGTCATTTGTCTCAATTTCATGTGTTGCAATTTAATCAAGTGTGGCTTTCTGACACAGGGACTCTAATAGGAGGCCTCGCTGTTGGCCTGCTGTTACAAACACAGCCTTCTTCCTCTCCCCCTCCATTCAAGCTAATGGAATATTGTGCAGTGGGGTCATTAAATAAGGCCTGGGGGCCCCAGGGGTTTGATGCTTCCTTTCAGCAGGGAGTGGACTGCTGCATTTTCCAAACCGTGAATCTTTCCACGGCCTTTCTAGATGCTCACATGAATGGATAGCTCGGCTTAACAAACTTGTTGCCTTCCTTTAGAGCCCAAAGGTGCTTTTTCAGGAGGCCACTGGACTTTCTTGCTCTTCTTTGAAGACGTTTCGCTTCTCATCCAAGAAGCTTCTTCGGCTCTGACTGGATGGAGGAGAATGGAAGGATTTATACTCCTTGCAGACAGCTGGTCATTTGCATCCTTTTTAGAGAGTCATTGAGGCCACTTGGAGGTTTATCTGTATCCTCAGGGCCACCTGAGTGGTGCTCCTGGTTCCTGTAGTCTGCAATTTTTCCTCTGGAAATTCATTCCTACTCCCATACCATTCCAAGGGGGTTCATCCCAAATTGCGCAGCTAAAAGTCTGTAGAGATTCTCAGTCATCCAGGTCATGGTTGTCCCAAAGGTGCTTTTTCAGGAGGCAACTGGACTTTCTTGTTCTTCTTTGAAGACCTTTCACTTCTCATCCAAGAAGCTTCTTCAGCTCTGACAGGATGGTGGGGAACGGAAGGATTTATCCTCCTTGCAGACAGCTGGTCATTTGCATCTTTTTTAGAGAGTCATTAAGGCCACCTGGAGGTTTATCTGTGACCTTAGGATCACCAGTTCCAAGAAGGGTCAACAGTTCCAAGAAGGCTCCACACCCATTGCACCATTCAGATGACCCTGAGGACACAGAACTGAAGAAGCTTCTTGGATGAGAAGCAAAACGTCTTCAAGGGAAAAACAAAGAAAGTCCAGTTGCCTTTTGCAAAAGCACCCTTGGAGCAATCATGGCCTGAATGATGGTAGAATGTCCGTAGACATTCATGAAAAATGGAGAATAGTCTTTTTTTTTTTAATTTATACATTTTCCTTTAATATATATGGGTGCTTAATAAACAGTGTATTGTCTGAGTCAATTTACATATTAATAAGACTAATATTATTTGTGGTGCATTTTTGAATGTTCAGTTGACTGAGTTTCATGTTTAATGAATAAAGTATATAACAATAATCTTTACTTGTATATAATGATATTCCTCCAACTTCTAATTCCTGCCTCTATTATCTAACCATTGTAAAACAAATCCCAAGTTAAAAAACATTCTGAATCATCTTTATCCTTTACCTTTAATGTTAACCTATCCATTTCTGCACAATCTAACATTTTTTAAATTATATTTTCATCTGTAGGAATTTCCTCATTTTTCCCATGTTGTGCAAATATAATTCTCACTGCTGTCAAAGCATGTAATATTCAATATACATGCCTTTGTCACATTTTTCTGGCAATATACCTCACAAAAATATTTCTGACTTTAAATATATATGTTGCTTTATTGTGTTCTCTAACCATGTATGTATTCTCCAAAATGGAGAATAGCCTTGACTTGGGTGTCCATCTAAGCGGGACTTGTTCCCATAGCTTGATTGGGAACCACGATTGAAGTATTTGTGATAGCCTAGCTCAGACAAGTTGCACGACGGATGTGTTGCCATCAGATAGGTAAAGGTAAAGGGTTCCCCTTGCATATATGTACTAGTCACTTCCAACTCTAGGGGGCGATGCTCATCTCCATTACAAAGCCGAAGAGCCAGCGCTGCCCGAAGACGCCTCCGTGGTCATGTGGCCGGCATGACTAAACGCCTTCGAAGGCGCACGGAACGCTGTTCCCTTCCCACCAAAGGGGGTCCCTATTTTTCTACTTGCAATTTTACGTGCTTTCGAACTGCTAGGTTGGCAGAAGCTGGGACCAATAACGGGAGCTCACTCCGTTCCGCGGCGCTGGGGATTCGAACCGCCAAACTCAGCTGACCTTTCCAATCGACAATCTCAGCATCTTAGCCACTGAGCCAACATGCCCCACCAGATAGTGAATCCCAAATTAACCTACCTAAATCCTACCCATTTTAGCCTAGCATGTTCTGCAGTCAATCTCGGTCTTGTAATTGGTTTTTCCTGTACAACAACGGTTTGTTTTTCAATGTGTATGAGAGTCATAAGAACTAAATTGTGGTTATTATTATTATCATCTCTATCTTAGGGGCGCAAACCTGGCTATTTCTCTTTTCTGGATCCGTTTTCTCCTGGGGTTTGGCTCTTCATGTTACTTGCCTACCTTGCAGTGAGCTGCGTCCTCTTCTTGGTGGCCCGGTACAGTCAATTTTTCATTCTATGTCTATTCCCTATCCTCACAGTGACACTTACTGGCAACTTCTAAGAACTACATGGAGAAATCTAATGTGGGTTGCTTTGTCCATGGTTTATGAGGGATGGATGGATGGAATGTTTATGTCTATTGACTTTACAATCAGCTCCAGGAAAAGAAAAAAAAAACCACAGTTCTTGCTGGAGGTCACCATGAGACTCTGTTAAGTTGAGTTCGACTCCTGTATTTATTTCCTGTCCTACCTTTCCTTCAGGGAGCTCAAGGTGGCATTGCATAGTAATTGCTCCCTCCTACTTTTCCTCCATATGCGTTCAGTGACATAGGTTGGACTAATAAAAGTGATCGGCCTTGGCTGTAGGTGAATCTAAATCTAGATTTCTTTGGTCCTAGCACATTGCTGTAACAACTGTACTGTAAACCAGGAGTCCCCAAACTTGGCAACTTTAAGACTTGTGGACTTCAACTCCCAGAATTCTCCAGCCAGC